TGGCGTGGGCCATGATACTTTCCCAGATGTCATGGCGCCCCTTCTTATTTCATTACGTCCCTGGCCCCCCCGCTGGACCGCGCACATGCCGCAGGTCTTGATTTGCACCCCCCCCTCTTGGACACCCTCCTCGTGGCCGCTCCCGAGAAGTGGCTCGTGGGCCAGCCGCGAGGCCTGGGATTCCCCTCTCAACCATCGTCGATCCAGATGCCGCAGCGCGCACTCCTCCTCCTCCTCCGCCCTCCTCCCTTTCGTCCTCCTCCCCCTCCTCCTCCCCTTCCTCCTCCTCCTCCTCCAGGTGCCGCTGTTGTGTAGACCAGCAGGTCGCAGAGCCGAACGTGGTCAGGGTAGATGTGCACACCATGGGCAGGTATCTAGTATGCCAAGAGACAGCGGGAGCGGAGGCAGCTGGTTTTCATGTTCGCCTTTGCCTAGCTGTAAAAATGCTCGGCTCTCAGGAGCATGCGACCTCCCACAAGGACTGCAACGACGAGCATGTCCGCTTTCGATGTTCTGCTTGTCTTCGTTTGCCAAGTCTGGGTCCGACTCGAACCCTGGGGCCCTGGATAGCTGTGAGCTGTTTCCAGCACGGTTTGAGGGGATTCGGTCAGACATGGGCTTTATCCTCGGCTCAGCTTGCGGCATCATGTGGTCCCTCTGTGTGCTTACGAGTGATTGGTTCTGGATCTGAGCGGTTCACAAACAACTGCGTTGCGGCACGAGGCGAACCCGGAACCGATTTCGCGGTTGGGCGACTCCGTTTCCGTTTGGTCTCAATCCCCAATTTCCAATCTTATGGGGCTGTATTTTGATTTGTTTAGGTAATGCGCCTTCCATTGCGCAGTGTCGCAACACTTGTGGAGTGCGTTGACAGATGTTCGGCCACACGCGTCTGTCTGCCACTTTTTCTGTCGCATGTTTACTTAGAGTGTCCTGGCGCACTGATGCGCACTGAAGCGAACTTATCTGTTCTTCACGCGTGCCCATCGCTTGGTTTCAGTCGGGGCTGATGTCCTCTGTGTTCTTGTGAAGGGAGGGTGGTGGAAGAGGGTTTTTGAGGTCACTCAAGGCCGGCAGTGTGCCCGTCCATGTGCGCTTCTCGACGGCACTCCTGTTCATCTGAATCGTGGGCTCCCCAAACGCTGCCTGCACCGAACGGGCGTCGATTTCCTACTTCTCGTTTCTTGGTTCCGATTGGTGTCTAATTCGCCCATCTAGCCCCCAGTGGCCCCTTGAGCCTTTACGAGCCCAGGCCTAGCTCCAGTATCCTTATGTGGTGCCAGTGCTCGCTGCAACTGGCCCTGATTTGCCCATGACTACACCCCATGGCTTTGGGTCGCACAAAATTCTCGCGGACCTCCCCAAGGCTTGGGAAGAAGTTTGGGACGGTGCAGCGAGGGGATGGACGTTAGCAGAACGGAGTAACAGTGAACACCAATGATGGGTATGATGTGAAGGGGTCGTGGAAGCCAACGTAGGGGACAGAGGCGTCGGGAAATTGCACGAGGGATCGCGGGATCCTGGGATCTCAATGTGTAGAGGGGCGGGACCAGTGTGTGATGGGGCAAGACGCGGAGCCCTGCGATGACATATCAGCTCGGCGTGGCCAGTACGTAAACATGTGCGGCTATCAGGAAGTTGCTGCCACCGCTGCTGCCCCCGCGGAGGACTTCACGGATGTAGAAATCAGGCATCATTCCAGCGAAACCACGTCTGTGCTGCCGTCGTTTCACCAGCGCCGCCACCCAGAAACCCTCAACTTGAAAGACGTCCAGGGGTTCGAAAATTGATACGCTTTCGTCTGCTCATGAAGACGAACGCGAATGCTCAGACATCATGCTTGGCAACCGGGTGGCGCCATATGTACTAGCGAACTGTGTGGTACCCAATGTTTGTTTTACGAGAGCGCTGAACGATTCTGTCCACCCCTCACAAGCGCCTTCTTTTGGTGGGCCCATAGGCAAGAAAAGGCCCCCCCCAGCTCCGCCCTTGGATCGGAAATGGTGGTTCCCTACACGCGATCTGCATGGCGCCGTCGTGACTCATTCGGCAGCTAGTATTACATCGTGCCTGTTCCTCTACAGGGGCAATATAAAAAATAGTAAAAAATAGTATGGAAACTTTTTCTTAAGTATTTTTGGGCATCTTTGGATGGTGTTTTCAACATTTTTATTTTTCGTCCAGAATCCCCCTGTAGGGGGACAGGCCCCGCCCAAAGCTAGCAGCTGTGGGGGTCCCTGCCAACCTGCCAACCCGAGGGATTCGACTGGAGTCGGGGTCTGCTGGCCCGTGGCCCGTGGCACGTGACCCTTGCCCCCACTCGTGGCCCCGCGATTGGGATGGGCGCCCCGTGGCCGTGGCTCGGAACGGGGCTAGGTAAGACGTGGCTTGGCCTGCTGGTTCGGCACGAATGACATGGGTACGGAAAGAATGAGTACAAATGCCCCAAAGCAGTTCCTGCTCATTTTGAACAGGACTCGCTGTCGTTGTCGCCGCGGCCTCTGTCCATTTGAGACAGAAGGCCGCCTGCCCAACAGCGGCCGCTGCTGGTTTGGGACAACATTTGTCGTTGGGCATTGTGTCCATTCTTTCCGTGCCCATTTCGGGCGTCCAAACTGGTGATCGCCTGCCTTAGTTCTGGGAAGTCCACGTCGCGGGGTACTTCCTCTTCACTCCGTCATCACCCCCTGCGGAACATCTGCAGAGGGGAGGAGCAGGAGGCACCTCACTCCGCGAACGTCTCAGTCTGCGCCTCTCTGCTGCTGGCCCCTTTTTGAACTGCTGGTCCTACCCCTGGCCTCTTTTCACACGCCTTGAGCATCGCCTGCGGGGGAGTACTTGCTACTCACGCGTCCTCCCGAACATTCCTCGTGCCCTCTGCGCATGTCCGCTCGCATCGTTCCCCCTCGGCCCCCGCAAGACCTCCGCGTCCTCTCGGGCACTCCTCGGCCACACCCCCCTCCCCCTCCCCCTCCTCCTCCTCCTCCTCCTCCTCCTCCCCCTCCCCCTCGTTGGGCGGCCAGGCTAGCACCTGGGCACCGCGCGTCCGCCATAGCTCCTCCTCCCCCTCCTCCTCCTCACATCCCTACTGCACGTCCCTTAAGAGTATTTGGAGGCCGCCTCCGCGGCCGGCGCCCTGGTCTGGAGATCCCCAGCCAGCACTCGGCTTCCATGGACCCCTGAGGCAATTGGGTGCACGCTCTTTTTTCGCTTTGTGTTGGCAGTGCTGTTCTCAGAGGGTAGCTGCGGGTGGGCGATCTTGTCAGATGGCGCTGGCATGCCAGGGAAGCCAAAAGGCCTGGCGCGAGAGTTCTTGGAGCGAGACTTGAGCAAATGGTGCCCCGAAGCCAAGTTCATTCAAGCTGGTTGTCCAACCCGGGACAACCGAGGTGGATCAAACTTAAAGTGGTTCTTCCAGGGCTACAACTGGGGGCTTATGGTTAAACGCTCCCAGAGAGCGATCAGTATCTCAACATAGTGTTCATGGTTATCACACCACTCTTGCTGGGCGTCTCCTGAGGAAGGCGTACCCGACCTGCGTATCCGTGCTATTTGACGTATCTTTTCCTGCGACGCGTTCTGCGACGTGCTGCGTGCTACGCAGCACTCCCTGTTCGACCACGACGTAACGTACGCTCACTTGCTGCCATGAATATATGTTGCGTGATGTTGTGACCTCGCCAGTGGCCTCGGTTGTTCCCAGCCGCCGTCGCCGCCCCGTCGCCGCCTCGTCGCCGTCCGTCGTCAGGGCCTTGCTGTTGGTCTGGCCGCCATGTAGCCGCCGTCGCCGTCCTGCCGATTTGGGCATGCACGGCGGTCTGGCGGCTACATGGTCGCCGTCGCCGCCCCGTCGCCTTTTGGGCCTGCGCTACTTTACATTGCGTTGCGTTCCTTTGCGTTGCATTATATTGATTGTACCACATCTATCGCGCCACATAGCTTTTACCACATTGCACCACGTACCTCTCATGACCACGCATACTGCACGACATAGATTGCACCACATATGTTGCACCTCGTACATGACACCACATAGATGACACCACGTAGATTGCACCACATAGCTTGCATTGTATATGTTGCATCACATAGATGGCACGGCATTTTCTTTACACACATAGGTCCTCCTTTCTAAAAAAGAATTAGGTTCTACTGGACTTAACGGTTTACCTTTTTCGTATTGCAATTGACATGTGATTCTGCCCCATCGTCCATCCTAAATATGAAATTTCATTTACCCCGGGGAACCGGTATCGCCCCCCCCGCCATCCTCTGCAACAGAAATTATGCGAGCGCTTTCGTTTATCAGAAATCATAGGTTTTCAAGAACCCCGTGCAAAACAAGGGACGAAGTGCGCACGCGCGCATCGTCGCGCGCATGTCGAGATCATTCAAAAACCTTAGGTTTTGGAAGGACTTCAAAATCGAGTTTCCAAAACACATACGCGCGCGTTCTTGCGAACTGTTAAGATAAGTCTTTGCAACAATGGGACGAAGTGCGCACGCGCTTGTCGTCGCGCGCGCATGCCGAAATCAGTCAAACACCTTAGGTTTTGGAAGGACTTCAAAATCGAGTGTCCAAACAACATACAACAACACAGGGTTTCGCAGCACGGATTTGCAACACAAGCGTGCGCGCGCGCTCTTGCGAACTCTTCTGACAACTTGAAGTTTTCAACATGTTCATAACATGCTACCAGATGGGCTTCGTGCGCGCATGTCGAATTCGTTCGGACGCCCTTGCGCGCGTGCTTGGGTGGCACGATCCTTTTTAAATAATACCATGCGAGCCACTCTCGTGCGTCTGCCGCGCGCGCATTTCGAATTCCTTCAAAAACTTGCATCACCCACGCAAAGACGCCGTCATCGTCGTCGGCGTGATCAGCATCGGCGCCGTCACTGGCCGCGCATTTCGTCGCTGTCAGCATCGTCACCAGCATCGCTACTATCATCATCGTGTCTACCGTTGCCGACGTTGCCATGATACCGCGCCCGCCCAAGTCTCCGACTCGCACACAAGTGCCCGCAGGGATGTGCCGAGCGGTCAGCGCCACCGCATTCGCGTCGGTCGCGCCAAACTAGCTGGCCGCTGCGCGCGCGAGCATACGCGGGCTAGCGCGGCCGCAGAGATGCACCAGCCATCGCCCAGCACTTCTCGCAATCGCTCCCGCATGGATTTTGCAAACCAAGTTGCGGGTGGGTGGGCGGGATGATTGCGCAAGCAGCGGAGTTGTCAAATTCAAGTTCGGCCAGTGCATGGCACCACATAGATTGCACCACACAGATGGCACCACATGGTTGCACCACATAGATGTCACCACATGTAGTGCACCACATGTATTGCACCATCATCGCGTTTATCCTACGGCTGCCTTCGAACGCGGCTCGGATTCTCGCCGCTGCGGCAAGCAGCGCTGCACCAGTTATATTATCTTTTTGTTTAACTAGAGAATGCTAGACTCTACCCTCCTTTTGGGCAATCGGCACCCCTTTCCGTGTCGCAATTTACGTATGATTTTGCCCCATCGTCCATCCGAAATATGAGTTCGTACCATCCCATCCAAGCCGGCATCGACCCCCCTGCCATCCTTCGCACAAAATTTTATGCGCGCGCGCTCGTTCAGTAAAACTCGCCAGATTCCAAGAATCCCTTGCAACAAATGAGAGGAACTGCGCACGCGCTCGTCGTCGCGCGCGCATGCCGTAATCCTTGAAAAACTTCTGGTTTCGTGAGGATTTCAATACCGAGTTTCCAAAACGAATGCAAATACAGGGTTCCACCACAAGGATGAAACAAAAGAGCAATTTGCGCGCGTGCTCTTGCGATTCTGAAAACAAACATCGGTTTTCAACATTTTCATAACATACTACCCAACGGGCTCCGCGAAATCGTTCGAACGCCTTTGCGCGCGTGCGTGCTGGGGTGGCACGACCCGTGCCAAATAATACCATGCGGGCCACTCGCGCGTCTGCCGCGCGCGCATTTCGAATTCCCCCCAAAACATTCATCACCGACGCGAAGACGCCGTCATCGTCGTCGGCGTGATCAGCGTTGGGGGCCTTTCTGGGCCGACTTGGGGCCCTCTTGGGGCGCTTCAGGGCCGTCTGGGAGGCCATCTTGGGCGTCTTGGAGGCCATCTTCGGCGTGTTGGAGGCCTCTTGGGCCGGGTTGGGGCCCTCGTGGGGCCGTCTTGGAGGCCACTTGGGCCGTCATGGGGCCCTCTTGGGGGCCTCTTGGGCGATCTTGGGGGCCTCTTGGGCCGTTTTGAGCCGTCGGGATGCCCAGAAGAAACACATGCCAAAATCCTTCAAAAGCCTACAGACAATCAATGCTTTTGGCCTCTTCGGGCCCTCTTGGAGGACCTTAGAGGTATCTTGGACTCTCTTGGGCCGTCTTGGAGGCCGTTTTGGACCATCTTGGGCGGACTTGGAGGCCATCTTGGACCATTTTGGAGGCCATCTTGGGCCAACTTGGCCATCTTGGAGGCCATCTTGAACCTTCTTGGAGCATTTTTTTTCCGGATTGAGCTCCTTGAGATCCTTTCTGGGTGGCCGGCGGGACGCGCCGGAGCCCCAGGGGGAGGTTCTTTTGGAAAAAGAGCCAAAACCAAAACCGAGAGGGTCTAACACGCCAGGCACCCCTTTCATGAAGCAAAAAGGGGCGGCGGATCTAATGGCTTTCGGCCCATCCCGCCACCGTGTTTGGGTTGTGGGTATGAAGCCTCTTGGATGTTCGTTGGGATCTCGTGGGAGGCCTATTGGGGGTCTTTTGGAGGCAGTTTCGATGCCCATTTGGGCCGTTTGGGGTCCTCTTGGGGCCTCGTTTCTGGGCTTCTTGGGGGCTTGGAGGCTTCTTGGGCCCTCTTGGGGCCATCTTGAGCGTCTTGGAGCGATCGTTCGGCGACTCGGGGCCCTCTGGGATCGTCTTCGGGGCCTCTTGGGGCCTTCTTGGTCTTGGGGCCTTCTTGGCCTGTATGGGGGCCTTTTTGGGCCTTGGGCCCGAAAAGTCATGGGACATTCGGGTCTGGGCCTTTTAAAGACTCCTCAGGAGCGAGGCTTGAGGGGTCGAGGAGTCGAGGATCAGGCAAAGGACCTGAGGACACGCCCGCTCCGTGCCCAGCGGCACGGTTTGCGGATGTGTTTGGACACCTTTGTGTTGAAATTATCTGGAAGCCAATACGGTTTTGGAAGGATTTCGACATGCCCGCGCGTAGACGCGCGCGTGTGGCTAGTATAGTCTTAGTTGACAGAATCTGCGGGTGCGCGATGATTGTTGACTATTTTCGACCTGCGTGCGTGTGACCTGCATGCTCTGATTTGACAGAACGGTTTGAACTCAATTGGATGTCAACGACTTCAGCGAGTGCGCGCACCAAGAACTCGGGCATTTTTTGCTTACATGCAACTTGTTTGTGGGATAGTTGTTGGTCATCTATTTCTTAGAGTCATGGAAACCACATAATGATTTTGACATGCGCGCGCGGCGGCCCGCGCGCGTGTGGCCCGTATGGTATTTGTTGTAAGGGGACCTTGCAACATTTTTTAGATCCACGCTTTTGCACAATACAGTGTGGCTGGCAGGGATAAGGGTGGTGATGATCGATACTGGGACTGCTTTGCATAACTGTGCTCTGGGATTTAGGATGACAGATCGTGCGTGACACGTGTAAGCCAAGCAGTACCCCGAGGGCCCGCGTTAATCCCGGCCTCGGTGTGGCGCAATTTATGCGGTGCCAAGTATGTGTTGCGGGCTGTGCGCTGCAGGCGACGTCGACGATGAAGACGCCGACGACGACGCAAATCTGATCGAGCTCGGGGCTCAAGGGACGGGGGTCAGTGCAAACGGGGGTCAGTCAGAGCGCCAGATCTTGCGGGAGCTTGCAGAGCCAGGGGTGCACTGACCAGGGTTAGGGCGCAGGATCCTGCAGGATCCTGCAGGATCTAGCAGGATCCTGCAAAGCCCGACTGACCTGGGTTTGCATTGACTCAGGTCAGCAGATCCCCGACGAGGCGGCGGCGAGGCGGCGACGGGCGCTCACCCGACGAAGCCTGGGAGACGCCTGCCGATTGCTTCACACTGCAAGTGAGATCTCCTTAGTTTGTGCTAACACAGCTCGGAGCGTTTCTGAAGTCGGCGCGGACTGCCTGAATCAGTTCGCTCCGTAATCGGTCTCCTCCGGAAGCCAGAGGGGTGAGTGGACGTCCGACGCCAGCATTTGAAATGCACCAGAGAAAAGCCCCAATCAGTGGATGGTTTTCGCTGAGGAGATCGACCGGGAACCCGGGAGCCCGGGAACCCAGAACCCACTGAAATCGGCCTGGAACCAATGACCAGGAACCCAGGAACCCGGAACCGGGAACCTGAGAACCCAGCCTGCCACCAAATTCGGCCGGATTTTTCGCCAAATTTTTCAACTTCCGCTATGACCCCTTCAGTGCAAGCACTGATTGGGGAATGGTGCACTTCACCAATCTTCTCCCTCCCAGCAACTGACACGGGCATCAACTGGAACAAGAGCTTGAAGCATGAGGGGTCCTAACGTTTGTGGCAGTCCCTGGGGGGCACCGAGCAGCTCCCGTTGGTTTGGTCTGTAACGATTAAGTCGGGCCTGTCCCTCTACAGAAGGAGTGCTCAACAATAGTATAGAATTGTCTGGCGACCATTTTTTGAGTATTTTTTAATACCATTTTGGAATATCTTGTGACTATTTTGAATTTTTCCTCCAAAATCCCCCTGTAGGAGGACAGGCCCGACTTAATGTAACGACTGTCTCAGCGATAAGACGCCGAGTTCAGCCGGACGGACTGCGCAGTGTCATCGGGAGGGCCAGATGCTTCAGCATGGGGGCGGGGGGCCTCCCCCCGACGAGGAGGCCGAGACGCCAAAGCCCGACCAGTTCGCGGGCATCTGGCTCACCGGCAAGGGGAACTCGCACCTCATCGGCCTAGACGCCATCCAGTGGAGCGACGGCGTGGCGAATCTGCGCCCCTGTCTGTGGAAGGAGCGAGATGGCAATGGAGCGTCGGAGACACACGAGGTCGTCTGCGCCGACGTTGGCGCGTAAGCTGTCCGCGACAGGTCGCGCGTGAACACCCTCGTCTCCAATGTAGCGTGTCGCGCTGGCGGCCGGCGTAAGCTGCGGCGTGAAGCCGCTGTGCCATCTCGCGTGAGGCCCGTTTTGGATCGTCGTTCAGTTGCATTTTTAGGAGCATGCTGAACATAATTCGCTCGTCTCGGGAATTGACCTGCTTCGGCTCCTCTCGCCACCGTGGCGGCCGGGGTCGTGGGCCACGTGCCCTTTGGGATCTCCAAGGGGGCCCGCGTGGGAGTCTGCGGTCGAGTCTGCCTCTCCTTCTCCTCCTCCCCCCTTCCTCCGTCCTCCTGCCTTCTCCTGCGCTGCTCCCGGGGTGGCTGCGCACTGCGAAGCCGTCGCCATCTTCGTGGGTCCCTTGGGGGGCTGCGAAGTGCGCAGCGGTCGCCACTTTCGCGGGCCCCTCGCGCGGCGTGGAGTTGTGCGGGGATCCAGTTGGGACCTCGCGGCTCCCTGGAGGGTCACGAGGTGCGCAACCCGTCGCCACTCTCGTGGGCTCCTGGGAGGGCGCGCGGCGTGGAGTCCCACGGGGGTCCATTTTTGGGACCTCGCGGCTCCCTGGGGGGCCGCCACCGTGGCAGCGCAGCAGCAGAAGGAATGAGGTTGAGTTCCAGACCCGCTTCAGCTCAGGGCCATGTCTGAACTGAACGGTGTCCAACACCATGTGCACTGTAGCCTGCGCAGGCGCCCCCGTTGGCTGTGGATGCGCCATCAAGGCTCCACACGCCACCAGGGACGCTTTGTCTCCTGACTGCGAAGTGCGCAACCGTCGCCAGTTTCGTGGGCTCCTGGGAGGTCGCGCGGAGTGGAGTTACATGGGGATCTCGTTGCGACCTCGCGGCGCCGGAGCTTCTTTGGCGCGGGCGTCTATGATATATGCAACTGGAAACAAGTACTCGCATCCAAAATGGCAGGGGTTCCCATAGCGCGCGGCGCTGTCCCGTCACGCAGCGCTCGGCGCTGCCGCATCGCAGCTCGCAGGGAGCCGCTGTGCCACGCAGCGTGTGGAGCTGTTTTTCGTCCGTGTGGCCTCCCATCCTCAGCTGCCTCTGGCCCGACACGCCACCGCGCGCGCCTGCCTCGCTCAGCGCGACGCGCTGTTCTGTTATGGAGCGAGCGCATGGCGCTGCTCTTTCCCGCGTGTGTAGCGCTCGGCGCTGCTGCTTTTACTGAACACGTATGCCCCTCCTTCTTCTTCTTCTTCTTCTTCATCTTCTTGTTTAATCGTATTCTCATTCTTGTTATTATTAGTTTTATTATTCTGATTATTCTTATTACTACTCGATGTACACATAAACATATTATTTGTTTAAAAAAATAGTGTCCTTAAGAATTGTACTCCCCTTCTTCAGCTGTTTGGGTCTCGCTCGCCCGATCCGCCCGTCAAGGTCCAGTTCGGATGTTTGAAAGCCCGCCCGCCCGCCCGACACGAAATGATATATATATTTCCGCCCGCCCGTCCGTGAAGGGCCCGCCCGACCGAATGTTGGGCGCGCGCGACAGGCGCCAGCGGATGTTCGCAAATTTGCATGTTCACGGCGTTCTCTCAGAGGCGGTTTTGGGGGGTCTTGGAGGCCTCTTTGGGGCCTTGTTGGGGCCTCTCGGGGACCTCGTGGGGCTTGCTCTGGGCTTCTAGGTGGCCCTTCTGGGGGCTTTGGGGGGGGCTTCTCGGGGGCCTTGTGGCGGTCTGGGGGTCACTGTGGGGCCGGGGGCTTGCCCCTACAGCGGGATTTTCGACGAAGAATAAACAATACACCAAAACTAATCAAACAATAGTCCAAAAATAATCTGGAGACTATCTTATGAGTATTTTTCGATCTTTTTGGTGTATGTTGGGGTATGTTTGAGTTTTCGTCGAAAATCCCCCTGTAGGGGGACACGCCCGACACAAGCCTACCCCTCCGAGCGGCTGTGTTGGACCTTGGAGCCTTTCGGGCCGTCCTGGAGCGTCGGCAGCCCGAACCATCGACAACGCCAAAATCTACAACATTCTCGGGATGTCAGTTGTTTGGGCCTCCTTGGGGCTCTCTTGGAGTGCTCCTGGGTTGTATTGAGGGCCTCGTGGGACGGCTGGGGGAAGTTTTGGGCGTCTTGGAGAATTCTGGAGCCGCCTCGGAGGTCCTTTCGCCCGTCATGGGGCTCTCTTGAGGTTTCCTTGGCCCGTCTTGGGGCCCTCTTTCCTCTCCGAGGCCCCCCCGGCCCCTCCCCCCTCCGATGGGATCTGAGACCCCAGGGCTAGGCCTCCGAGATAGGGTCCGAGTAGATGGGGTCGGAAGATCGCGCCGTATCGTCGATGCTTCGGCGATGCGGCTCGACGTGGAGCCCGACTATCTCCACGCGGGCGTCGCCGATGCGTCGCCGATGTCGCCGATGCATCGCCGATGCGTCGGCGATGTATCGCCGATGTATCGGCGATGTGGCGCGATCCTCCGACGCCACCTACTCCGACCTCATCTGGGAGGCCTCTGCCAGGGCAGGGGGAAAGGGGGGCGGAGGAGGAGGAGGAGGAGGAGGAGGAGGAGGAGGAGGAGGAGGAGGTAAAGGAGGAGGAGGAGGAGGAGGAGGAGGAGGAGGAGGAGGGAGGAGGAGGAGGGGGAGGAGGAGGAGGAGGTGAAGGAGGAGGAGGAGGAGGAGGAGGAGGAGGGAGGAGGAGGAGGAGGAGGAGGAGGAGGGGGCAGGGGGGCAGCCCATCACTTTGCTTGCCTTTGCGACCTTCTTGGCGGGCGGGGGTCGGCGCAGAGCTTCGCGTGCAGCACGGGCGCCGCTCTGTGTGATCCTGTCACCGGTGCACGGTGCGTGGCTCTGACACGGGGAACCACTGATTCTTCTTTCCTCTGCCCCCCCCTCCCTAGGAGTTTTGCTTTTTGTTTTTTTTTCTTTTCTCCCTCTGGGCCATCACGCGCGTTATGCCCCCTCGCGTCCCCCCCCATAACGTAGCGCTTCCCCCCTCAGTGCGTCCCCGGCAATGCCGCAGTGCGTCCGGCACCACAGTCTGGGGGGGGGCCGTTAGGTTATGCCCCCCCCGTTCCCCCACCCCCTCCCCCCCCATTAAAATGCGCTCTAGTTGGCTCGGCTCCACCAGGACTGCGAGGGTGAGTCGTAGGTCTTCCCTGGCCTCTGCCGTCCTTCAGTGCCATGGGCCTCTGGGACACACCTCTTGTGCGCGGCGGCCAGCTTCTGAGCGGAGGCTGCGAGGTGTGGCGGGAGCACTGTTTCAGGAACGCGGTCGGAACGGACGAGAGGGAATTTGGACCCGGCGCTTTTTTTGACTCACAGGGGCCGTGGGGACGACCAGCAGCTGTCCTGCTGCTGGGCAACCAAAGGCTATAATACACCGTATTCCTTGTCCGACGTTTCTCTCTCCGACGGGTGTGTCGCGCGACAAACGATCCCTAGCCAGCGGTGGCAAGAGGCGGGCTGTAGTCCGTCGACCTTTGCAACCCATTCAGTGGGCGCTGCTCGACCGCGGCAGCTGCGCGGCTGCCAGGTGACCAACGTTCTGAAGAAAAAGGTCAAGGGCGTGATGACGCTGGTGACCAGGAGAGAGCAGGCGGCTGGCCACCCGCGTGCCTCCTCTCCCTCTCTGTCCCCGGTCTCGCACCGCATAGGAGCGTTCCTGTAGCGTACCTGGACCCTGTGACCGCAAACCCCACCCTCGAATTGCCTTGCATTCCAGGATCGAAGGGGTTGCCATCTCTTCCGCGGCGGAAGGTCGGCGGAAGGCGGCGGACCGCGAGCGGAAGCTGGCGGAAGGCCAGCGGAAGCTGGCGGAAGCCAAGTTCGATCTCCCAAGAGATGACCTTTCCGGAAGGCCGGCGGAAGCTGGCGGAAGGCCGGCGGAAGCCGGCGGAAGGCCGGCGGAAGTTGGCGGAAGCCAAGTTCGATGTGTGTGTGTGTGTGGTATCTAGGGTTTCCGGGATCTGCCTTGTGATGCCGTCCAGGAGCGCCGCCTGCGTGCCTGTCGAACTCGGTGATCTTTCCGGGGAAGTCCCTGGGAGTGGCTGGTTGTTGCGGATCCCGGGCCGTCGCGCGTCGGCCTGTCGCCGAGGCTCTTTCTCGCTCTGGCGCCACTCCGCCGGCGAGCCTCCGAGGCCCCCCGCTGCAGGCTTGTGGATGTGTCTCCCCGCCATGGGCCCCCTGGGTCATCTCTGGGCGACAGGTCGGTCCCGCGAGCTCCTGGATGTGCACAGCGGTTGGATCCCCTGGTTGGCCTTCGCTCGACTTCGTTTTTTTTGTTTTGTTATTTGTTTTTGTTGTTGTTTTGTTGCTGTGTTCAGAATGCTATGCCCATGCGTAGTTATGTATATATATATATACATATACATTTCAAGAAGCTTTTTGCAAGCAGCGCGGGCTGATTGTCTGGCAGGATGCCGATCCCCCATCCAGATCCCGATCCCCATTCCGGCTGCGTCGTCAGCTGGTCTGCTCTCTTGGCCGGCTGCACGACCCCAGGTTGCCAGCACCTGTTCTGCACGAACGAGATGGGCACGGAAAGAATGGGTACGATGCCCAGCAGCAGTTCCTGTTCATGTTGAACAGGACTCGCTGTCCGCGCCGCCGCGGCCTGTGTCCATTTGAGACAGAAGGCCGCCCGCCCAACAGCGGCCGCTGTTGGTTTGGGACAACATTTGTTGTTGGGCATTGTACCCATTCTTTCCGTACCCATTTCGGGCGTCCAAATTTGTCGTAGTTCTGTCTGCTCTTCGTCTAATTCTTCTTACGCTTCTTCTTCTCGGCCAGCAAATCTACCACCCCACCCCACCTACGACTCGGCGATGTTTTAATTTGGGGCGCTTGCCCCGATGATAAACATACTAACGCCTATTATAACAATTCGTAGCACCCCGCAGTTGCGGATAAGAGTGAGGGGGCGGCGGGAACGTCTGCAGTCTGCGAGGCTCTGAAGAAGCCCGCCGCAGGCGCAACCTTTTCGAGCTATACAACGGGCCCGCCGCAGGCTCTATTACTTTATTCGAACAGTCTAGGTGGGTCGCGGGTTGGGTCGCAGGTGGGTCGCGGGTGGGTCGCGGGTGGGTCGGGGGTGGGTCGCGGGTGGGTCGCGGGTGGGTCGCGGGTGGGTCGCGAGCGGGTCGCGGGGTGGGTCGCGGATGGGTCGCGGGGTGGGTCGCGGGTGGGTCGCTGGCCGGGTCGCGGGGGGGACGACGACAACAACTTACAACAACAACAACAAAAGCAACGACAACAACGCAACAAGTGAATCCTCCCCACGGATCCGCACTTAGGCCACGCACCCAGGGACAATGAAAGACCGTTCGGCCCCCTCACTCTGACTAAACATAATATCAATAACAATGCGAATGCGACTCGAAGTAAGAACCCATCCTCCTTGTTATAATTGTTTGGGTGTTCTTCATGTTCTTCTTCACATTCTTCACTTCCGTCTCACTTGGCCGCGGGGGGTCCCGCTGGAGCCCAGCCCAGGGTAGGCGTGTCGCCGTGGGGGCCCGGGGGAGGATGCCGGGGGCCCGCCCTGGACCTGGCGGCAGCGCAGGGCCCCGGCTGCGCGGGGCAGTCGTTGCTCGGGGGCTTTTGGACGGGGGTTCTATGCAAACGGGGGCCGGCCAGATCTAGGCTATTCCGAGTTTCTTAATGAGCGTCGGGGGGGCGTCACCCCCGCCGACAGCCCCACATCGACCCCCGTCGTGGGTAGCCACCACGCGCCGAAGGCGCTCCGACCCCCCGTCGCGGCGCGACGACGAGGCGAGGTTGACCCCCGTTGGGGGGGTTACCCTCCCACGCTTATTAAGAAACCCAGAGTAGATGTCGTCGGAGTAGATGGGGTCGGATGGTCGCACCGCGTCGCCGATGCGTCGGCGATGCGGCTCGATGTGCAGCCTGGTTTTCTCCGCGCTGGCATCGCCGATGCATTGCCGACGTCGCCCATGCATCGCCGATGCATCGCCGATACATCGGCGATTCATGACGATGCGGCGCGATCCTCTGACCCCATGCGCTCGGACCCCATCCAGGAGGCCTCTACCAGAGCGCCATTTGTTCCCCGGGGAACGGGGCGAGAGGGGATCAAGGCGGATCGGTGCATGTTTCCCTGCGTGCACAGCGGCGCCGCCACAGAGTCAGATCAGTGGCGGGTGATCGGGATATGTCAGGAGAGGAAAAAACACACAGACACAATTAATTTTCGATTTCCCCAACAATATGGGAAAATATGGGAAGTTGGGGGGAAGACAGAAACCCAGAAAATATAAAAAAATATGGGGAATATCTTTATTTGTGTGTATTTATTTGTGTGTCCTGGGGCCCCTTCAATGTGGTGAGCATCCCCTGCCGCCCGCTTGCCCGCGCTGGCGGCGGCAGCGCAGGGCCCGGGCTGCGCGGGGCAGGCGTTGCTCGGCTTCGATGCCTGTGATGTTCTTCCAAACTGTTTTGGCCTTGAGGGCCAGACAGGATCTCGAGCACCAGGGGAATGCCGAAACTGGAGGGCTTTCCCGTGGCTGGTCCTGGGAGGCGATGCTCGTTCTACACTCTGCCTGCGTGTCGGACAGGCACCGTTGCGATACTTTTCCGGGTGCTCGAAACTATGGAATATGGTTCTTCAGTACGATGGGGGGGCATCTTTTTTCAGGTTCGCTACTGCTCTTGGCGTGTGCTGCTAGTTTTGGCCGCGCTCAGCGGCACACCAGTCTCAACGAGTACATGATGTAAACTTCAAGTAACTCGTTTGCAGAGTTTTTTGGGGAAGTAAGCTCTTACCGCAAAACACACCTTCACAGAGTTGTCCTGGAGCCCTGAGACGGGGCTCCATGCAGACGGGGGTCGGCCAGAGCGCTGGACCTCGCAGGATCCCCCAGAGCCCGACATGCTTCGGGGAAGCCTTCGAGCCCCAATCAGCCCCTCAGTACTACCCTTAAGTCGGGCCTGTCCCTCTACAGGAGGAGTATTCAAAAATAGTCAAAACATAGTCCGGGGACGATCTGTTCTTATCATTTTTGGGTATTCGAGGGCATTCTTGGAGCATTTGTTTTATTTTTCGCCCAAAAATCCCCCTTACTAGTTTTTGGTTTTTCCGTAAACAAAAATTAGGGGGGCAGGCCCGACTTAATACTGCCCGCCTCGGCGGGGCACGCTGGGGCGAGGGGGCCGAGCGGTCCGACGCTGCCCCATCGGCGCGCGCGGTGCCGCGGCGGGGCCTCCGCCGCAGCGCGCGGCTCCCCGAGCGAGAGAGGCCCGGGCCGAGCGCGCCGCTCTGCGCCAGCTTTTTTTTTTTTTTTTCTCTCTCTCTCTCTCCTCTCAGGGGAGCGGAGGCGCGCGCCCCCCTCCTCCCCCCTCCTCCTCCCCCGTCTCTCGCCCTCCCCCCCCCCTCCCTCCCCTCGCTCGGCCCTCCTCCTCCCCCTCGCTCGGCCCTCCCTCGCCCTCACTCGCCCTCCTCGCCCCCTCGCTCGGCCCTCCCTTGCCCTCACTCGCCCTCCTCCCTCTCCTCCTGCGCAGGGAGCCGAGGCGCGCCCCCCCCCCCCCGAGCAGCTTTTTGTTCTCTCCGCGGGAGCGGGCCCGCGGCTCCAGCTTGGCATCGCTCGGAGGTGTGCATTTTTTTTCGGCGACGGCCATCGAGGACCATCCTGGACCATCGAGCAACAAAAACACGCCCGAAACCGAGAAATGCACGCGAAATGGACGTCCGAGCGATGGCAAGGCAGAGGCGCCCCCCCCCCCCGAGCAGTTTTTTTTTGTTCTCTCCGCGGGAGCGGGCCCGCGGCTCTCAGGAGGGAAAGAAACACACAGCGACACAATTAGTTGTCGGTTCCCCAGAGAATAGGGGAGCATATGGGCAGTGGGAGGGGGGAGACAGGAGCCCAGAACATATGGGGAAATATGGGGAATCCTGAATTTGTGTCTACAGTCGGGGCCCTGAAGAAGGAACCCTTTTTGTTGGGGAGGGGCTCCGCGTCCCTTAAGTGTTTCACAGCTTGCCTCAGGTTTTCCTCATGTTTTCTGTAGAAAATCGAAGTTTAACTTATGGAAAAAAAGGGGCCTCGTTCCTTATTTAGGGTTCCTTAGGTCAACGCCCCGACTGTATCTATTTGTGTGTCCCAGGGCCCCTTCAGGCTCGGGGGAGGAGGCGGAGAGCGGGGCGGGGGGAGCGGGGAAGGCAGGATGAAGTCGGGCCTGTCCCTGTGCAGGGGATTTTCGGCGAAAAATCAAAAAGACGCAAATAATAGTCTAAAATGGTCAAAAGTCACCAGATTTTTTTTTTTTTTTTTTTTTTTTTTTTTTTTTTTTTTTTTTTTTTTTTTTTTTTTAAAAAAAGAAGAAGAAACAAGACAACTATTTTTGAACATTTCCCCCGTAGAGGGACAGGCCCGACTTAAGGGTAGGATGAGGATGGGGGGGAGAGGGAGCGGAGGCGAGGTGGAGAAAGGAGACGGGCCGAGGGGGGAGTGGGTCGGGCCGAACGAAAGGGGGGGCTTGGGAAAGGGGGGCGTACGAAAGCTGCTGCGTGCAGCTGGCTTCGGCCCCGCTGAGGGGCCCACTCCTCGCTACATCGTCGAGCTGTGTCTCAAGCTCCCCCCTTTGCTATCCCCCCTTTCGCCCGGCCCGGGTGGATGAGGGCGAGACTCAGGAGAGGAAAAAACACAGACACAATTAATCCTCGATTCCTCAGAAAATATGGGAAAATATGGGAAGTGGGGGCGAAGACAGAAACCCAGCAACTATGGGAAAATATTGGGAATCTTTTTATTTGTGTGTATTTATTTGTGTGTCCTTGGGCCCCTTCAGAGACGGAAGGAGGGCTGGCGCCGCTCTGCCCGGCGCGCCTGCCTGGCCAGACGACGTACTACGCCGGTCTGACACCCGATGGCAAGCTGCAGTGGAGCGACGGCGACTTGTGGGTGACGCCTCCCGCCGCACCCTTCTTTCGCGCCCTTCCCCCCTTCATCTCTCTCTCTCTCTCTCCTCTTTATCTCTCTGTATCTCTCCCTCTTTGTCCCTCCCTCTGTTTCTTTCTCTCTACCTGTCTCCCTCCCTCTCCCTTGCCTTCGTCTCCCCTCTCGGCCTTTCTATCTCGCTGTCACCCGCTTCCGCTCGCTTTCTTTCTTGATTCATTTCTCTCTCTCTCTCTCTCTCCTCTCACTCTCTCTTTGTTTGTTCGGCTGTTAATTTGTGTTGTTTGTATATCTATATTGATCTATTTCCCTCATTGTTTTGAGATATCTCCATCTGTCTGTATAAATGTGTGTATCTGTATACATATATATATATATATAGGATGTATATATATATATATATATGTATCGTTTTCGAGTTATTTCATACGTGTTAATGCTGCTGTGTAGCACTACGTAAGGTACACTACGTACTATACACTACATCGAATACGTAGCGTAATATACATTACGAAAGCTGAACTGCACCACGTACGCTACATTACGTAAACTACACCACGTGCACTACACTATGTAAAGTACACGGGCACTTTAATTCAATGTTAGCGACAACTCTCTGTATGCACTCCTGCCCAGGGAGTCACAACTTTGATGCACGTCACCTCCATTTTTGATTCATAGCTCTCCCTCTCTCTCTCTTCCTGTCCCTCTCTCTCTCTCTCTCTTTTGTTCTCTCTCTCTCTCTCGCTCTCTCTCTCTCTCTATCTTTTCTCTCTCGCTCTCTCTCTCTCTTTCTCTCTTTCTTTATCTCGATTTGTTTTGTTCTCTCTCTCTCTCTCTCTGTCCAGCTGCCTCCGGCGAGTCCCGCCACCATGCCTGGGTTGTGGGTCTGAAGCCTATTGGATGGTCAGGTAGTTTGGCCTCTTGGGGCCTCTTTGGGGCCTCTTTTGGGCTTCTTTTGGACCCCTTAGGGGCTTCTTGGGGCCTCTTTGGGCCTCTCGAGGGCCTCTTTGGGCGTCTTGTGAAGACCTCTTCGGGCCTGATGGGGGCCTCTTGAGGCGGAAGGCTCGGATTTTCGGTTCGTGTTCCCTCTTTTGGGCCCCTTTTGGAGCCGTCTTGAGGCCCTCTTGGGGCTGTCTTGGGCGCCTCTTGGGCCGTCTGGCGGCGCTCTTGGGCCGTCTTGGGGCTCTTTTGGTAGCCTGTTGGGGTTTTCTGGGGTGGTCTTGGGCGCCTTTTGGGCCGTCTTGGAGCGTTGGAAGGCCGAAAAGGCGAGAACGCCAACATCCTTCAAGAACCGTAAGAAGACCACTGTTTTCTGCCCCTTGGGGCCCTCTTGGATAGGCCTCGTAGGGCGTCTTGGAGGCCTCTTGGGCCATCTTGGGGCCATGTTCGGCGTCTTCGAGCGATCGTTCGGCGACTCGGGGCCCTCTTGGACCGTCTTGCGGGCCTCCTGGGCCGTCATGGAGGCCTTGGAGAGCCCCAGGGAGGCACCATGGTCGCCCAGGGGCCCCCGGCAACGGGAGCGATGCAGTCGGGTGGGTGCTGCCAGAGTGGGTGGGGGTCCCTTAGAAGACTGCAGAAACCCTGCCAGGCAGCCCCCAGCATCCTTCCACGCCTCAACGTGCCGCAGGCACTGTGGCGGATCTCTCGCCCCCTTTTTTTTGTTCTCTCTCTCTCTCTCTCGCTATCCTCTGAAGGTGCGCTCGCAGGACACGCCCATGACTGGGAGCTATCGCGGCGCTGGCCACGCCTACGAGTACCTGGAGAGTGCGATACAAGGACACAGCCCCGTGTCGAGCGCAGGGACGTGGGGCAGCCGAAGGTCCTCCCACGGCGGACGCGAAGGATTTTTTGTCGGTTCCCGTCCATTTTCTAGGCTCTGGATGTCGGCCACGCGCTGGGAGGGGGGAAGTCTTCTTAGAAGCACCCCTGCTTCTCGCAAGGCGCGGGCCTCTTCTGTAGATGCAGGGCCGGCGCCTTCTAAGAAGTAGCCTCCTTCCAGGAAGCCTTCACCCCCCCTCCCCCTTGTGCGCGCCGGCCGTCAGGGATGCTTTCCACCAGCTGCGCCTCGCCGAGTTCGCTCCGAGGCTGCCCGAGCTGGCCCGATCGGCCGCCGCAGACCATGTGACCCGAGAGCCAAACAGCGAGGACCACTCGGGGCGGACTGGATAATGACAGCGTGTTAGGAGAAGTCGAAGAAGAAACAAAGACATAAGCATAAATGTTTGGCGCTCCGCGCGGGTTTCTCGGATCCGCGCTGGGAGCTCCTGGTGGCGCCTCCGGCGCTGCCCCTGGCGCGCTCCGCGCGCCAGGGAGGGGGGCACAGCGCGGGTCCAAGAACTCCGCGCGGAGCGCCAAATGTGTTTTTCTTCTTCTTCTTCTTCTTCTTCTTCTAAGAAGGACAGTGGGGTCAGGACAGAGTCGTCGGGCCAGGAAAGGCAAAAAGGAGCGCGCTGAGAGCAGCGGGCTGCGCAGAGGAAGCGCTCAGTCCATGTGGTCGGAACGTCGGGCTCGCCTGCAGCTGTGAGCGGCCACGGCGCCGGCTCCCAATCTCTCGCAGATGCTAACTAAGCTCGGCGGCCCTGGGGCTCGCCACTGCGAGAAGCGCCCAGGCCCCTCCCGCCCTCGACTCGGCACTCTGCCGCTCCAGCTTCCCCCGCGTGGCTTCCAGCTCTCCCTCCCGACCCTGCAGGGCCTCGCTCAGGCTGCCCCCGGGGCTCGCACGCAACCTCCGGACCCTTGCACCCAGTGCGCCCCGAACATGCCACACATCAGGAGGGGAAAAAACACACAGACACAATTCATCCTCGATTCCCCAGAAAATATGGGAAAATATGGGACAATATGGGAAGTGTGGGGGACGATAGAAGCCCAGAAGATGTGGGAAACTATGGGGAATCTTTTTTTGTGTATTTATGTGTGTGTGTGTCCTGGGGCCCCTTCACATGCCACACACACACATTTTGAGGACAGCTCTCGCCACCGAGCGAGGCAGGGCGGAGGGGCCCCAGGAGTTGTGCTGAGGGCAGCCGCCGAGCGCGGCAGGCCCCTCTTCGGAGGAGGGGGCCAGGCTGAGGCCCGTCCCGCACGGACCGCGCAGCCCTGCGTGGCAGATGGGGTGGTCAGCTCGGGAGCGGAAAAGAGGGGGGTGATGGCCAGGGGGGGGTGGATATCATGGCGGGGGCCATGATATTTCCCCAGATTTCTTGGCGCCCCTTCTTATTTCAGTACGTCCCGGGCCCCCCCGCTGGGCCGCGCACATGCCGCCGGTCATGATTTGCCCCCCCCCCCCCCCCCCCTCTTGGACACCCCCCTCTTTGCCGCTCCCGATCAGCGCAGCGAGGAGACTGTGGGGTCCCTAGTAGCTGCCGCTGTTGGCATTGCTGCTGCTGCTGCTGCTGCTGCTGCTGCTGCTGCTGCCTTCTCTCTTCCAAAGTGGGGCGGTGCAGGTGAGGCGGGCGGAGTGGGAAGAGCATGAGCGAGGTATGCATCCGGCATGATAGACACTTGACGTGCGCCCGTTCTCGGTGCGGCTTGTTTTCTTGCAGCCGGCCAGCCCAACCCTGAGCCCCGCAGGAGTACCTGGGGTCAGCTTGATCCCTGGTCTCATAGATCAGGACTCCGCATGTGCGGAGCGGAGCAGGGTCCCCTTGAAGAACTCGCCGTGCGGAGCTCAGTGTGGCCTGCTTCAGCGCGCGTGCGCGCATGCCCGCCTCGCTTTCTGCACCCAGTGGGCGGGCAAATGACCTCACACGGATGGGGGATGGAGGTGGAGAGGGAGAGGGAGAGAGAGAGAGAGAGAGAGAGAGAAAGAGCAGAGCATATGGCTTGCTCCCAAGGCGTGCGCCGCAGGCAATTGCGCAGCTCCTGCGCGGCTCCTCTGTCGGCAGCTCCAGGGCAGCGCTTGGCGGAAGTCTACACACAGACGCCCTCCCATGGATGATTCCTGGGCCTTCGGGAAGGGTGGCGGTGTACACATCACAACGGAGAGCCAGCGACTTTATACACTGTCGCCCTCCCTGAAGGTACGTGCCAGGTTCGTCGGACGCTGTCCGTGTATACAGTCAACCCGCATAGTAAGGACGGGCAGCCTTCCCAAGGGTACCCTTGCATCCTTGCCTCCTTGGTGCATCCTTGGCCACTTTCGTTGGTCGCGCCCCGCTCGAGAACTTCGAAATAGGCTTCCAAGGGCCTTGCATCCTTATCGCGCATCCTTACTCTACGGGTTGACTGTATATATCTTCGTGGCGTAGTCTTGGGCTCGTGGGCAACGCCCAGGCAGCGCTCCCCAGCGAAGACGGCAGACGGGCAGCTCTACCTTGTTGTCGGGGGCGGCAAAGAGGGGGGGATGACTAGGGGGGGTGGACATCATGGCGTGGGCCATGATGTTTCCCCAGATCTCATGGCGCCTCTTCTTATTTCATTACGTCCCTGCCCCCCCCGCTGGGCGCCGCACATGCCGCCGGTCATGATTTGCACCCCCCCCTCTTGGACACCCCCCTCTTAGCCGCTCCCGATGTTGTTGGGTCCGGAAGGCAGGGGCCGTGCAGCGCATTTGGTGGAGGCAGGCCAGAGGCCCAGCCCTGCACGGGCCAACCTGGAGCCTTCGGGCCCCCTCCTCTTTCTTCTTCTCCTTCTCCTCCCCCTCCTCCTCCTCCTCCTCCTCCTTCTCCTCCTCCTCCTCCTCCTCCTCCTCCTCCGCCCTCCTCCTCCTCCTCCTCCTCCTCCTCCTCCTCCTCCTCCCTCCTCCTCCTCCTCCTCCTCCTCCTCCTCCTCCTCCTCCTCCTCCTCCTCCTCCTCCTCCTCCTCCTCCTCCTCCTCCTCTCTCCGCCCTCCTCCTCCTCCTCCTCCTCCTCCTCCTCCTCCTCCTCCTCCTCCTCCTCCTCCTCCTCCTCCGCCCTCCTCCTCCTCCTCCTCCTCCTCCTCCTCCGCTCCTCCTCCGCCCTCCTCCTCCTCCTCCGCCTCCTCCTCCGCCTCCTCCTCCTCCTCCTCCTCCTCCGCCCTCCTCCTCCTCCTCCTCCTCCTCCTCCTCCTCGCCCTCCTCCTCCTCCTCCTCCTCCTCCTCCTCCTCCTCCTCCTCCGCTCCTCCTCCTCCTCCTCCTCCTCCTCCTCCTCCTCCTCCTCCGCCCTCCTCCTCCTCCTCCCTCCTCCTCCTCCCTCCTCCTCCTCCGCTCCTCCTCCTCCTCCTCCTCCTCCTCCTCCTCCTCTCCTCCTCCTCCCTCCTCCCCCGAGGCCCTGCTTTTCCTCCGAGCTCCTGGGCAGCGATATGGGGGGGGGGGGGGCAGCGAGGGCTGCGGAAAAAGAGGCCCTTTCTGGCCCCGGAAGGGGTCGGCCCCCCCAAGGGGGCCTTCAGGGCTGGAGATTTCCCCCTTCCCTCAAAAATTCTCGCCCCCCCCCCCCCACGAAGTGACGCTCAAGAGGCCCCTGAAGGGGTCGGGCCCCCAAAGGGGGCCTTCAGGGCTGGAGAAGTCCACCTTCCCTCCCAATGATTGCCCCCCCACGAAAGTGACGCTCAAGAGAGGCCGCTCCCGCGCAGAGCGCGGGGACTCCGAGGCGGCCCCCGGGCTTCGGGGCGGCAGGGAGGCGCGCGACTCGGCAGGGGTTGGCCGACGCACGCGCCCAGGGCAGCTCTGATGGAATCCCTCTACGGCTGGAGCCAGCTCTACCAGGATCCAGCTAGAGCTGGATTGAGGACTCCTTATTGAAAGTTCCTGGTTCCTTAGTAGAGGGCTCATGACGGATTCTCGGTTGAGGATTCCTTACGAAGGGTTGCCTACCAATGATTTGTTATTACATGCTCCCTACGAAGGACTTGCTGAGGATTTCAGCTCCTTGCTGAGAATTTCTGGTCAGAATTCCTGACAGGGGACTCCTTACTAAACTTCTAAGAATTCCTTACGAAGGATTCCCCACGACTGATTCCGTACTACATAATATTTACTCATACTTTTCTGGTACGGATTCGTTACTAATTATTCCATAACAAGAATATCACATCAATTACTCCTTACTAAGGATCCCCATGTAGGAATCCTTAGTCAGCATCCCTTAATTCGGGTTCCGTTTAGAGCCATTCATTATCAAGGGATACTTATACTGGATTTCTTGTTAAGGTTCCCTAGTAATGATCCCCACTCAGGTGCTCTTATGAAGAAGTCCTTACCCAGGACACCCTAGTTCGGGTTTCTTACTAAACACTCCGTACAAAGGAATCCTTGCGACACATTTCTTAGAGCGGGATCCCGATAAAGGATTTCCGATTCAGGACTCATGCAGAAGATTCCCGAGTACGGATTCCTTATTCAGGAATCCGGCTAAGGATTCCCTGCCAACGATTCCGTACAAACGACACCTTGCTCGATTAGAAAGCAAACGCCACAACCGTCCAGGCCTACATCGGATTTGCTTTGGGAGGAGGATGGGGAAGAAGAGAGGGAGAACGGTGGGGGGGAGGAGGAGGAGGAGAGAGGAAGAGGAGAGGGAGGACGAGGAGGAGGAGGAGGAGGAGGACTGCCGAGTACGCTATAGGCTTTCAGGGTACCTAAGCCCATCTTTAAGGGATGAGATGACCTTCAGAAGTGCAGTGTTCCACAACCCACTGCCTAAAGCAGCTTGCCCCTCCAGGAGGGATGTGTTTGCAAAGACCCTTGGGGGTCTCATCCTTAAAGTCGCGAGTCTGGCAGAAACTAGTGCGCCCTGACTCGGCTTCGGCCATACTTCGAGATGACAGCCCGTTGGGCTGTTCGGGTACGCCATGGGGACTCAAGGTTTCCGATGTTACTCTTTTCCGCCAGCCTGTTTGGGCCAACAAATGCTGCGGCATGCTGCGAGGGGGATGTCGCAGAATCGGGGGGCACCCCCCTTGCCTGAGCATTATGTGCGTGGTGCGAAAAGGACTCACATGGGAAACGCCCAGGGCCGTACGTGAATGCATCCCTCACTTCTCGCCCCTCAGGAGGTTAAGGGTGAAGCAAGCTGGACAGGGACCGTTTCGGTTGCCACGGCCAATGCTGACCCTAGGGGTGACAAGGGGAACCTGCTTGTATAGACGTGGGCAATCACACCAAGTGTGATAACAGTTGCCGAAGGATGAGTTGGCTAGCTCATTGCCACAGCTCAGCACAAATGAGCAATCCCGTCATGTGGGATGGCTGAGGCTTGCGAGTAGGGTGTGATTTTTCTTCTCCGAAGGCCTCAGGAGGCCTTCGGACAGCGCAGCACTGTTTGGTACCTGTGGGCCTCCAACTGTTCGCCCAGAAGACGCACGCGTGTTTGCCGAGAAGCACAAACCATAGTCGTACACAATGCCATCTGCCCGCAAGCTGTGGGAACCCCGATCCGCCCCAAAAGTAATACACAGTTTCGACTCTACGCACGCTGCGTGAACCTCCATCCGCCGCCAGCTGTGTCCATAGGCCCCTCCTCCAACGTTCTCTTCTCCCGCTCCTCCAGAGAGAGAGAGAGAGAGGGACGCGGTCGCTGGGAGGCTGCAGCGGGCCTCCGGGGAAGGCGGAACTAGAGGCTTGAAGGTGTCACGGAATACCCCCAGGGGGCTGGGTAGGGGCTTCGCTCACCACCAAGCCCTCCATCCATCGATACTAGCGTCGTCGATTAGGGTCGCAACCATGTGACAGTTACGGAGGATGTGCGATACCACAGAGCACTCCCACTTCATTGGATCACGTTGAGCGTGCAATCTACCTGCCGCGCGCCTTGGTTCTAGTTTGTTGCGCTGTGTTGGGGGTCGCGGGGAAATTGGCCGCAGCTAGGTGGCCGGAGCACAGGGGGGGACAAATTCTGCACCCTCTCTCGCACCGAGCACATCACCATGTCACGGAATGTGTGGCATGCGAACTACATGTACACATTTGTGGCGACAGTTCGAGACCGTGCTGTCCCGGCCGCGTAGCCGATACACGCTTCCAGGATGCGTCCCAGAGCCACCCGTGACAGTTTTTGCAGGGGAGTTTTTTGGGGACCATTTTGAGTGAATTGGTTTGGGCCCAAGTTGTCCCGGCCGCGTGGCCGGTACTCGCTTCCAGGATGCGCCCCAGGGCCACCCGTGACAGTTTTTGCCCGGGGGCCTGTCTGGACCATCTTGAAGGCCACTGGAGGAGGAGGGAGTGCAACAGTGCCAAGCACTCCGCTACGACGGACATTTCACTTTCATATTGTCTTGCGAATTAATCAGTTATACACGTATTTGCAGAACAGGCCTATGGACATTTGTGATGTAATCGTTCGCCGTTGGGTGGCGTGATGGACGTCCCAGGTGCCAGACAGAAGTTGCTGCAGTATCAGTGGCATTATTTCACGCTCCCGCGAGCATGGGGGATGGTCGTTTGGTGGGGTTCTTCGGGTTTCAGGGAAGACCCGACTAACCTCGCCTGGGCTTGCGTCGCCCTGGTGACGCACCCATCAACAGAAAAGGTGCCTACGTACGCTGTAGTGCGCGCGGTGGAGGATTCCATTGGGGGGGTTCCTTCGGGCCAACGGAACAGCCCGAACAACCCCCGTGGGTTCTGGCGCCTTGTTGGCGCACCCAGAACAGAACACGACCGCCCGTGGTGGTAGCTCTGGTGCTGGGGGGTGTTCTTCGGGCCCAGGGAAACGGCCCGAACAACCCGCGTGACTGTCGGTTCCGTGGCGACGCTCTTAAGCATCCGACGGCGGGGCTGTCAGGAGCCACAGTTTCCGTGGTGGTGTGTGGAGCCTTGATGGCGCAACCAACAGCCGCCAAAGGCGCCTGCGCAGGCTACAGTGCAAATGGTGGTGGACTCCGCTGTGGGGGGGTCTTTGGGACCCAGGGAACAGCCCGAAACGCCTCCCCTGGTTTATGGCGCCTTGTGGGCGCACCCAGAACACAAAACGGCCGCCCGTGGTAGTAGCTGCGTTGATGGGGGGTTGTTGAGGCCGAGGGAACGGCCCGAACAACCCCCGCGATCTCAAGCATCCGACAGCGAAACCGTTTGAGCCACGGTTGCCATGGTGGTGCGTGGCGCCTTGATGACGCAACTGGCAACTGACAAGGGCGCCTACATAGGCTACGGTGCGCATAGTGAAGGTCACCGTTTGGGGGGGTCCTTCGGGCCGGAGGAGCAGCCCGAACTACCCCCCTGGTTTGTGGCGCCTTGTTGGCGCACACAGAACAGAAAACGACCGCCCGTGGTGGTAGCTACGGTGTTGGGGGAGTTCTCCGGGCCAATGGAGCAGCCCGAACAAGCAGCCTGACTGTCGGTTCCTTGGCGACGCTCTGAAGCATCCAACAGCGGGGCCGCCAGGAGCCAGTGTCCATGGCGGTGCGTGGAGCCTTGGCGGCGCTACCAACAGCCGACTGGGGCGCCTGCACAGGCTACAAAACACATGGTGGTGGAGTCCGTTGTGTGGGGTCCTTGGGGCCCAGGGAACAGCCCGAAACGCCCCCCCTGGTTTATGGCGCCTTGTGGACGTGCCTGGAGCACAAAACGGCCGCCCGTGGTAGTAGCTGCATTGATGCGGGCTTTTTCGGGCCAAGGGAACGGCCCGAATAACCCCCTTGACCTCAAGCATCCGACGGGAGGAGGAGGAGAAGGAGGAGGAGGAGGAGGAGGAGGAGGAGGAGGAAAGGGAGAGAGAACGACGCTCACCATGTGGACCGCATCTTTTCTTCTTGTAGAACTGTTTGTATCAAAGGACCGGGCGCGATACACACTTCAATGGTGGAAAAAGTAGATGCGTGCATAAAACATACATTATACATCGGGTCGTGAAGGTTGAAGGTGTGGGATGGCGCTGCTCAGATCAGCAGATGTGCGCCGCATTTTGTTTTTTTGCGCAGGTTGGTCGCGGTACATATTTCCATCGTGAAGGATGTAGATCGGGGATGTGCAGAACAGTTGTTTGCATCGGATCGTGAATATTGAATGCTTGATAAGGCATGGTTAAGATCAGCATATGTGCGCCGCATAGTGTTTCTGTTGCAGAGGATCATGCGGGGCACGGATGTGTGTACGCGTGGGGCGGCTTCGGGGGTCATGCAGAAACGCATTGTTTTGCATAGGATCGTGAATGCGGAAGGCTTGACCAGGATATGGTAAGATCAGCATATGTGCACCGCATCACCTCTAGTGGCGCAGTGGCCTCCCATGGGGTCCTTCGGCGTGACTTGGGCGGTCCTTGCGCCCACCACGGTGTGGCGAGGGGGGTGGGCCGCGGGCATCCAGGGGCTTCCAGCAGGACCCCCAGAGATACGTCAAACGGCTTCATATCAACCCAGAGAAGCTCCCGTAAGGGAACCGCCCAGATTTCACTGTAGATTACAGTTCGTCGCGCGCTTTTCAACGGTCTCGTTGTGGTGCAGCTTCACGCGCCCCCATGGTCACAAGAGGGCTTCGCGCCCTCTCGCATAACCGTTTCGGCCTCTTCCTCCCCAGTCCGGGGGGAGCGTTTTTTGCAGGCGTCGGCCTCAGCGCATGTTGGCCGCGTTGCGCTGGCGCGCTTGCCGCTGCGGGCCGCCACCTCCGCGCTCAGCTTTGCCACCCCTGGTGCTGCGCTGTGGGTCCCCTCGCGCGCCCTTCTACCAGGAAGCCGGATACGCATGTGGCCAGGTGGTCTTCCCAGCGCTCGGCCCTTTTTGGCCGTGCAGGCTGGGCTCCCGCTTTTCTATCCAGCAAATGGCCTCGTGTGTGTCCAGCTTTTGGGTCTGGCCCTGCGCGCCTGGCTGCTGCCGCCCCCCCGGCTGCTCATCGTCGAACTCTTCGGCGTCTGAGCGTCCCTTCTTCCTCTCGGCCGTCCCCCCGCGTTGCTCGCCGGCCAATTCGCTAGTTAGTGTCCCTATCTAGCTTCTCGCTGGAGCGGAGTTCGCCGCCTCGCCGCTGACGAAACAAATATCCAGCTTCTTGGCGCGCCCCGCAACATCCGAACCTTTCGAGGCGTCATGCAACATGCGGCGCCCGGCACCTGAACTACATGTGAATACAATAAGTCCAGATGGAGGACGGATGAGGAGACGCACCACAATGCGATGCCGTTGACGGAAGTCAGAGCGTTGGAAAGCGACCTGGCCCCCTTTGTTCCGAGGTTCTACGCGGATGCTGACCGACGACGCTCTGAACGCGCAGCACCTGTCCGTGGCGCAGAGTCCAATTCTACCTCAGAGTCCAGCCCTCCGTGGCGCCGGGCGCAGTCCGCGCCCGCAGCGACGGAGGCAAGCCCCAGCGGCTCCGAGGCCCCCCTGTAGCAGGGCAGCCAGCGGGAGGGATCTTTGCTATTCGGTCTGCTTGTGCCGTTCTTCCTTGTCCGTTAGGGCATGCTTCCTCTCCGCCTCGATTCAGGAGGGGAAACAACACACAGACACAATTCATCCTCGATTCCCAGGAAAATATGGGAAAATAGGGGAAGTGGGGGGGAAGACAGAAATTCAAAACATATGTGAAAAGACAGGGAATCATTTGATTTGTGTGTATTTGTTTGTGTGTCCTGGGGCCCCTTCAAGGGCATGCTTCCTCTCTGTCTCGATTGGGCTCGGGTTCAGTGTCTGGTTTGGCGCAGCCAGGCCAGATTGGGGAGGGGGGAACACGGCACAGGCACGAAGAATCGTCGATTCCCGAAGCGACAGGGTAAGCATGCAAAGGGGAGGGGAAGACAAACCTTCAGCAAACATGGAATCTAGGGGGAATCCTGGGATCTGCATCTGTTCATTAGTGCGTTCCTGGGCACCTTCACAGATGAGCTTTCCATGGGGTCCTCGGCACGAATGTGTGGGCCCCGCCCCCGCTTAGTTTCCCAGGGTCGTCTGCTGCAGCCGGCCCGTGCCTCAGAAAACACTGTCTCGCGGTCGTTTAAGAATGGCCCCTCCAGCTGCGTGCTTTTGGTGATCCAGACGTGCTGTCACGACGGTATCGTGGATCGTTTTCGGCAGAAGCGTGAGGCGAGAGACTGGTGAGGCTAGCAGATCCACATGCGGAGGGCCGTGTAGCGTCCCTCGGATGCATCATCTTGTGCACCGCCTATCCTTGTTTGGCGCCGCAGGTCCGATCAAGTGATGGGCGCAGCATAGCTCCGCG